ATTTTTACTTTTTTTCGTCGTGCTGTGATGACGTCAAATGCGCGCTTTCGTCGAGCACGATTTTGTCCTCCGCGGTTTTGTCGGGTCACGCTTCAGAAAAGGGTTGGAGTAGAAAACTTACAAGGCCCCTTCCAACTCTGTTATTCTGTAATTCTGTTATTCTGTACTCCCAGATATTACACCACTCTGCATCTCCTGAGGAAACGTATCTCATTTACAACTTGTGTGTACGTCCTTGGTGGGATTTGGCTGCTCTCGTGTTCCCTGGTAGCTCCAGCTGTTGCCCACACCTACCATGTGGATTTCCAGAAGGAAGGTTTTGCCATTTGCGAGGAGTTCTGGATAGGAGAAGAGAGGGAGCACCTGGCCTATGCTTACAGCACCTTGATCATCACCTACATCCTGCCTCTTTCAGCTGTCTCTCTCTCCTACATCTGCATCACCATCAAGCTGAAGAACCGCGTCGTTCCGGGTCATCCAACACAAAGCCAGGCAGAATTTGACCGCCTGAGAAGGAGGAAGGTCTTTCGCCTCCTGGTGTTGGTGGTGGCTGCTTTCGCTGTCTGCTGGCTCCCCATTCATCTCTTCAACATCATCCGTGACATCAACATCAACCTCATTAACAAAGAATACTTCCTTCTGTTGCAGTTGCTCTGCCACTGGTTTGCCATGAGCTCTTCCTGCTATAATCCTTTCCTTTATGCCTGGTTGCACGATCGCTTCCGAAGTGAGTTGAAAGAAATGTTCACCTTCAAGAAGAAGATAATCCCTGCCAATAATTGTGTTGCAGTCAGTGTTATGCTTTAGATATACGGTAGATTCTATTCCTGCATCAAGTAAGTAAGGCAAAGTCTGTTTTGAGTTAGTTCAACTGCTTATGACTTCACAAAGATGTTCATATAGTTTTCATGTAGTAAAGGGCATATATGTACACGTAGGAATAGATTATTGTTCTGTGCTTCAGATATTCGATGACTCCAAACCAGGAGTGGCTAATGGTCAGGTGTCAGGCTAAGCCCAAGGATAACTAGGAGCATTTCAGTCAAAAGTTCAGTTCTTTATTTGCTTAGAATCAAGAGACAGAATCTTGCCAGACTAAACCCTTACTATTTCCATCCTAAAGGATACACCCTGAGAGATTTTAGGGCAGTGGTCCCCAACCTTTGTGGCTTGGTGGGCGGGGAGGGAGAGGAGTAGTGGGCCAAGTGAGTGGCGGGCCGATGCATACACAGACACATGCATGCAGCCCTTGCACAAAAGGTGTGCAAGTGCATAGCTTGACTTCTGTGAGTGGTGACCTGGCGTGCATGTGCACGAGTGCTCACAGCCCACCACTCATTGAAGTTGAGTTGCGCATGTTCCAGCCAGTCACTTGCATGGCCCAATTCTGAATAGGTCACAACCTAGTAGAGGGCCATGGCCTGGGGTTTAGGAACCCCTGTTCTAGGGAGTCCAACTCTTTTTTTCTCTCTCCTAACCAGCTTCAGGTTATGCTGCCTCTTGTTTGGTCACCCTTTCCCCTTTTATTATTAAAAATATTTCAATAAAAATTAGATTTAAAAGAATGAAGAAAGCCAGATCAACTGATTTAAAATGCCTTCTGAATTGATAAAAAGCAAAACGCCAAATTTAAATACTAGAAAATAGGTCACAACAAAACTATTTTTCTTAAAAAACAAATCTTTACCAAAAATTACATACTATAGCAAAGTGAGCTCATATGGGAGGGAAAACTTTTTTCTGCCATGCATATTGTATTACCTAAAATGAATGAAAAATAATGACTTTTCAAAAGCATCCTTTCCTCATGTACACACCTGCCTATTTTAATAAGCAGATTCATTAATCAACCCAAACATCTATGAATATCTAATTGGAAGCGAGAATTTATCGACAAATTTGTCTAGAACCGTGATGGCGAACCTATGACATACGTGCCACAGGTGGCACACGGAGCCATATTGGCGGGCACGCAAGCTCAGCTCCAACACGCATGCGCATATAAGCCAGCTGATTTTCAGGCCTTTTGGGCCCACCAGAAGTCAGCCTAGAAAGGCTCTGGAGCCTGGGGAGAGTGAAAAATGGACCTTCTGGTCTGACCAGAAGTCAGCAAATGGGCTGTTTTCGGCCTCTGGAGGGCCTCCAGGGTGGGAGGCCTTTTTCGCCCTCCCCAGGCTCCTAGAAAGGCTCTGGAGCCTAAGGAGGGGGAAAAACGGGTCCACTGTGCCATCACGTACCAAAAACAGGGAGGGTGTGGGGGAATCACACGTGCATTTGTGGGAGAGGGGGGCATAGAATTATGGGCGTGGGCACTTGCACACACACTTGGATGACCTCTCCCTGCTTTTGGCACGCAGTGGCAAAAAGGTTAGCCATCACTGGTCTAGAACATTTATAAAACTGTAACTTTTCAGCTTTTGCTGAATTGTAGCTGGTGGCACCCTTCTCCTTTGCCCCATGCAGTGAGGGTTCCACCACAAATCCGCGAAGCCCTTATCCGCGGAGACATAAGCNCTCCAGGCCAGTAAGACCCCACAGATTGGGTCTCCTTCAGATGCCGTCAGCCAGACTGTGTCGGCTGGCGGCCCCCTGGAAGAGAGCCTTCTCTGTGGCTACTCCGTCTCTTTGGAATCAGCTACCCCCAGAGATCCGGACCATACCCACTCTCATGGCCTTCAGGAAAGCTGTAAAAACCTGGCTGTTCCGGCAGGCCTGGGGCTGTTACCTCATTATTGAGGTCCAGCCCCGATTAGAATGAATGCATGTGGTTTTGTGATTTTAAACTGTCTTTTTTTCCCTTTCTTTTTTTTTCTTCTTTTTTGTAAGCTGCCCGGAGTCCTTCGGGATTGGGCGGCATATAAATTTTGATATATATAAAATTATATATAAATAAATAAATAAACCAAGAGGGCAGTTGAACGCAGTTTTCGACTCATCCCCTTCTTTAATTCTGACTCGGTAATAAGCCTCTCGTAGATCTAACTTTGTGAAAAATTTTCTCTTACCCAGCTAGGCCAACATGTCCTTCATTAACGGATAATGGATATAGGTTCTGGACACATACAAATGAAAGGAGCTATCTTTCTTTTTTCTGAATAAGACCGGAGCAGCAATTTGAGGCCTAGTGGGTTCAATGAATCCCCTTTCCAAATTTTTGTCAATAAATTTCCTTAATTCGTCCATTTCTCTAGGAGTCATTGAATAAATCTGAGGTTTAGGGAGTTTCACCCCGGGGAGAATATCAATGCTGCAGTCAGTGGCCCTGTGTGGGGGCAATTTATCAGAAGACTTCTCACTGAAAGTATCTTTCAGGTTTCAGTACTCCTTTGGGATTTTTTCCTCCCCCTCAATTTTCTCTTGCCCTCTGGCTGCCAGGTTGGGGTCTGTCTTATTCAGTTCTGGAACCCCTCCTTCCTTCTCAGGGGGCATAGCAGACTGGATGCATAACCAACCCTTCCTTCAATTTATGCGTGGGTTCCATTTACGCAGCCAGGACAATCCTAATGTAAGGGGCCGGTCCATTCCTGGGGCCACAATAAAACTTATTGTCTCTTGGTGGGTTCCCATCCACATATCAATAGGCTCAGTTACAAAATGAGCAGGGCTTTCTCCCGCAATAGAACCATCCAGCTGGCAAAAAGCAATTGGAACTTTCAGAGTTTTAAGTTTCAATCCCAGTTTTTCTACTATTTCTGGGCTCATAATGCATCGTGTGCATCCGGAATCTAAAAGAGCCAGCATTTTTTCTTGTGCGCCAGAAGAGGGCACCCTTAGCTCAACTGGAATAGTCATGGGTCCCGATTGGGAACTTACCAGGTGTTTGTCATCAGAATCGGTTTCGGTTTCTTCTGAAGAGCAAGGGGAATCCTCCCCCCTCTCACCAGGGTGGAAATGCTGAAAAGGTTCCTACCTTTCATGGCAGGTTCTTTTCTCTTGCTGGGAGGTTTTTCCAGCTTCTTCTCTCTCCGAGGGGGGAGCTTCTGGGTCATCTTGATGCGGCAATTTGCGGCGTGATTCCCCTCCTTCCCACAGCGGAAACACACGAAGGCTTTTAGTTTACTTGCAGATCCACTTTTCCCTCCTTTCGGGGCTGCTGGGGGGGGGGGGTTGGCAGGCAGGGGTTTTTCATTCTCACTATCCTTCTAGTAATTCTCTCTGACCAAGTCAATTTCCAGATCAGCAGCTATCTCATACCAGGATTGCTGTCTACGGGGGAGGGGGTCTCGAGTTCATGCAGTGCTGATAAATCCCTTTGTTTAACCCATCAGTGAAATGCTTCTTCAGACCAACCCCTCATAAAAGCTGATAGCTGGGCTTCCGGGGAGTGGCCTGTCGCCCGTCGGCAGCTTAACAGAGCTGCCCCCAGAATTC